AACAGAATCTGTGATATAGTTCTGTGTAGTAAGCAAGGGAAAGATGGTTGCAGATGAGAACGAAGACGTCGAGGGAGGGAGAGCACATAGGAGGCTGAAAGTCAAATTATGAAGCGTGAAACTTTCCAACCTGGGCCCAGCATAATAGCTCCCTCATAAAAAGGGTGTTGAGAGGAAAGACCATTCTGCCATCAGTGAGGGAGTGACACCAGATTCTCTGGTGTATCCAGAGAATACACCATCACCATTCACAAGTGCATCCATAGAGTGGGTTTCAAGAAGTAAGCCTGTAGGGCACTCAAAGAATTCTGGATACCTGCCATGAAGGAGATGGGAACTCCAAATGTTTGCACTGATACCAGGCGCAGCTGTCTGGGCTGAATGAATAAGGAGTGTCCCATACTACATCTGGGCACAGTTGTTCAAAAGACACAATGAGGATGAAGATTCACCAAACAAGCTTTATACATTAGTTACTTATGTACCCATTACCACTTACAACAATATGCAAATGGTTATTGTAGAACTAACTGCTGATTTTTGAATAAGATTATAAAATAGCAAAAGAAAGTGTGGAGAATTTTCTTGGTGCAATAGGTGTCTTTGAATACTTTCAATTAAAGAAGTAATATGATCCAATGTATAGCTTTCAAAGATTGCTCTGGCTGCTGGGTAGACAATGAGTTGAAGGAAGTCAATGCAAGATTGCTGTTGTACAATGACCTGGTAAGAAGTAATGGTGGTTGTTTGCAATGGTTGGAGAGAAGTGGAAGGTTTTGATAAATACCTTATCAAAGGTATTCTACCTACTAGTAGAATGAATGGTAGTTGACAATAGATCGATTTGAAAGAATGTAATGGAGATATCAACAATTAATCCTAGGATTCTGGTTTGATAGTGAGATTAAGGAGACTGGAAAGGAAACTCATTTGGGAGGGAAAAATCAATAGTTAAGTTTTGAGCAAATTAAGCTTAAGATGCCTCTGAAACTTAAAAATAGATACTCTAAGAAGAGTGCTACATTCATCAATCTCTTAGAAGAGATCTGAGCGGCAGATATATATTTGGAGATCATGGCAATAAAGATGACATGTAAAGAGAGGTGCATTTTGACCTTTCTGAGAACAGGGTTAATGCAGGTGAGAGACAGGTGGACAGATTCCAGATTTCAGTGGGTTAAGAGGAAGTTGAGGCACCAGGCAACAAGTATAGACCATTATTTCGAGTAGCTTGAATAAAAAAGGGAGTAGAGAGATTAGGAAAAGCTTACGGGTATATATAGGGGTAGAGTAGAGGGGTTTTGTGATGAGAAGAGTTTTAAGCTTGTTTTTAAACTATGAATAAAGAGCTAGCATAGAGGGCGAGAATGAGTATCTAAGTGATCAGGGGGTGGGGGTATGTGTAAACTTGAAAGAATGAATTCTCATAGGAGGCAGAAAGATGGAATCCTGAACACAGGGGCTGGGGTCAGGCTATAAAGGAAGTAGGGGTGCCTCTTCCTCTGAAAAAACAGAGGGCTAACTTAGAATGGCGAAGATATAAAGAAGTTCCAAAGATGACGGGTGAGCCTACTGAGAGATTTCAGGCCTGAAATGGCTTCTACTGCTTTTGGTTGTAGTGACCAGTGACACTGCTTATACCCAGAGGATGAGATGAGGGTTGAGATCTTCCTCAATGGTTGCTGCAGAGGGTGGGACAAGGCACCCAAATGTTCCCTGATTGTTATTCCAAGCCCTTCTGTATCTCCAGGAATCTTGTGGCTATCAAAACCTCCCACGATAGTTTGATTGATTTCAAATTCCAAATCCTCGTGATGCTAAATGTATTGATTGATTCTTCTATATGCCATTAACTGTTTTTTATAGAATCCCAGGGCCATAAAGCTATTAATCTGCTTCAAGTTCAACTAGATTTTCAAGATAACAAGGCTTTATGGCCTGTCCAATTTTACTTGATTAGATGACACTACAGAAAATAAATCATCTTTAATTTTTCTCAAAGGACCTACCCAAGCAAAATATTTCTTCATCTGTGGGGTTGTGATGGAAGAGAATACAAACGAGTTCACTTTGTAAGGCAGGTAGCATTTCTACTCTGTTGTTCACAAAAGTTCAGTTGGTTCAACCTTACATTGGCAGAATGTCTACTTTACCATTCGTATTCCTCAACAGACACTACAGCTTCTCATTTGTAATCACTTGAAAGCTCAATTACAGTCTTCATAAATTCAGGGAGAGCTGTTTCAGCAAATAATGCAGCACCTGTTTCATAGTAAAGAGCTAAAATAGATGAATGACGGATTCTATATTTATTAATAGTTAGCAATGTATTGATTGCGTACTTAGGCAGGAACAAGCAAAGCTCATTTAAACTCCACGTTATTGCCATATGTTACTTTGTTGTTTGAAGTTATTCCTCTTAATATTTAAGATCTCTTTACATTGATTTATCTGTTGTTAAAGAGGGATATATTTTTAACTAAAATATTAAAGCTAAACAATGTTGTCATTTGAGGCTTTCAAATTTTTTTCTTAGATTAACATCAGCGGAATCAAGGACTATTTGGTTTCTTGCATCCACAGGCTATCCCTCTCTGCAGTTGCAAACATATGACCTTTGACCTAAAACTAATTCTGCCTCAGGTTCTGGGCTCTATGAACCTTTATTAGGGATAATTCCATTAACACAGACCAGTTTTTGGTTGATTCAGTATCCTCAGCCTAGCTGAGAGTGGTTCCAGTTGGTGCTGTACTTCTAATCATTGCCGTTCTGCTCCTTGCTCACCCGGTGATCGTAGGATTCTGTCACAGTACGATTACTTGGGTTTGGGCCCACGCTTCACCACTGTCCTTGCCCTGGGGCCCTGGGTAAGTTGTTTTACTTCTCTGAGCCTCAGATATATCATCTCTCAAATGTTGTTGGAAATAGTTATGTTACAGAGGGCTTAGGTTATATTAATGCCCAGCTCTGGTCTGGCAAGTAGAAGGCAGTTCTGTATTTTATCCCCCTTTCTCTGGGTTCCCACCATTATAAAGTCCTCATTACACGGATGCTTACAGACCTGAATTTTTGCTTTGCTTTGAGTAATATCTTTAGGGACTAGAGCTCTGTGACCTGCTGTTGGGTCACTTTAATGATGGCCACCATCTGTCTGCAATCCTGCATATTAGCTGACTTTAGGGTCCTAGTTACTCTGTCACATCCATCCGTCCAGACAGCCGACTGTATCTTACTGAATTGCCTCAATGATCATCAGATGCCTGAGTCACAAACTCTCAGCTGACACCTATTTCACGATTCTTTTGGACTATCTGGCTGTCTGTGCTTCCCCATTCGTGCCCCCAAAACTTATGTTTTGTTTCTGCCTCATTTACAGTTCTGTTTTAGTCATTGTGTGATATGATAAATGGACCTAAACATCATCTATTTTCTAAGTATGAATAAAGTAAATTGTTTGCTTAAAGAAAAATAGAGTTGATAATAATTGAAAAAAACTCAATATGTATTATAAAATAAAATACACATTTTAGGAGAAAATAAATGCTGATTTTAGTGCTTGCTAATTTACAACACAGAATAGATTCAATACTTGTCAAATTCATGAATTTTTAAAGTAAATGATGTAAACCACAAGATCTTTGAATGTTGAGAGGATGTCACATCCTACTGCTGTGCGGCAGAGGTAACGGCACAATTTCACCATCACTGGAAGACGTGTCGAGGGTAAACAGTGACCAACATAGAGAAACCAGTGAGTTACCCTCTTTCCACATCAGTTCCGAAGGCGATAGTTTACTTGCTTAGGTCAAGTTCTGCCTTATTTATAAAGTGCCACTGACCATTAAGAAATAATTGGGTTCATATTTTGTTTTTGTCTTTTGAATTTGGTTGTCACTGGCATTTAAACCAAAAGCAATCATCAGTACTTCCACATATGAACACTTATCAGTCGACTTATTTATATAATTTAAAAATTAGAATATTACTTAAAGAGTAGCTCATGGAATTTCTTGTTCATTCTAGTGTCTAGTTTTAGTAGAGCAACGTCTGTGTCTGAATCTATGGCTACAGCTGTGTAAGCATCTTTATTTCTATGTTTCTATTCAGTAAAACTGGAAAATCAATGTGATTAATAATCAGATAACTGGGAGTACATTTATTCTTTAATAATATTATGAGGTCACCTGAGTTTTTCCCTTTTTTCTTTACTGTTTTGATGTTTAAATTTGGGGAGTGTTTTAGATGATTTAAATAAATATCTGTCTACTGCTCGCATTACTTTAGGTGGTATTGCCATGCTCTGAATTAGAGACTGCACCTTTCTGTGCCGCTTAAAAATCAGGAAATGGCCTGGGCCTGGTATTCACAAAAAATGGACTCCACTGTCTGCTTGTTGATGGCTGTCGAACAATGAAACAAAGATAATCGATCAGGTTAAATCTTAGCGACTAAACTACTCAAATTGTTAAGAAAGCAATCATGTAGAAACTGCCCAAGAGCACAAACCAAAATCGGTCACTAGACCTGAAACGCATCAAGTCTTTGACCCGATGCACAAGCCTCATGAAGGTTTGTTCTTCCTACAAAGAAAGACAAAAGCACACGAGACTCCACCGTAGTGTTTTGCTAAAAGATGACAATTTACAATCCTTCAGGCCGACACACTAAATCAAAAATGATCTCACAAAGTCTTCACATATTAAAATGTTTTTCCTCTCTTGTTAATGCAGCTTGGGTATTGGAACACTTCGGGAGAAGCTCCACTTGGATGAGAAAACATGAGTTCATAAATCATCCAGTTAAACTAAGTAGACTTTTCCTAATGGTGCAAAAATCTAACTGCATTGAAATGATCCTGGAGCCACCAATAACAGGGAGAGTGTCACTAGCCTGGGAAACGCTTAAAAAGCTGGTAGCAAACATCCCAAAACCAATTATTCAGCGCAAGGTCGAATTTAGCAACCCTCCTTTATCTCATTCCCCTGTCCAAGGAACTCACAGCTTTCAATCTCCAGGGTGCAGTTTTGTTCATCCAGAGGGTATCTTCGCAGGTCCATCATACAAGCAGCTGTGGTTGTGATGCTGTCAGGAGGAGAGACAGAAAAAAGAGCATCATGAAAGATAGATTCAGAAAAGGATGATGGCTTTCATTTCCAGGCTTCCCAGCCCTGAATCATGTTTACCAGGGGTCATAAACATTTTGTGGTTAAAATTTTTGAAGGCCAGCAGATTGAATTGGAGTCTTTCTTTGCTACTGACTAGTGGTGTGAACTTGGGCTATTTAATTTATCTCCATGAGCCTCTGACCCCACTTTATCTTCTTGGGGGCGGTGCTTTTTAGATGGCAGCCTACTTGTTTTGACGGTGCTTATTTGTGTTAACAATGCATCTTGGAATTGGTTTTACAGTAAATAATAAGCTGTCTTAAAATTTTTACTGCAGTGTGTTCAGTTGTATGAAATACCATAATTTATTTTCCCAGTCACCCTTCGGTGAGCATTTACATTGTTTCTTGTCTTTTATTTTTACAAATGAAGATGTTCTGAATATACTGGCATACTTTATTATGTGTCATAACACCTGTTGGCTATCTCTAAAAAGGAAATGGCTAGGAAAAAGGTAAACACGTTGTATCTTTTGCCACATTGCCCTTGGGAGAGGTTGTGCCAGTTTACACTCCCATCAACAGTGTATCTAAATTTGACAAAGTACTCTTCATTCCTATGTTTTTGAGGCTGCCCAGGTGAGTTATTATTTTGGTCATGTGTGTTAACCTAACAGGAACCTTCTTCTCAAAAGCATCATTACAAAAGCCCTAGCCCTTCCCAAGTTCTCTGTGGCTTTCCTCATGAAAAATGAAAGTTCACAGGATGAACGCTGGGACATTCCCTTTGAAGCCTTTCTCAGGCGAGATGTTGGTCAGTTGAATCAGATGTATTTGAGCAATAGGCGAGAGCAAAAAATAAATTTCAAGTTTAATTTAAAAAATTTCTTCAAAGTGTTTTAAAAAACTTAAAGACCAGTTGTATTCCAGAATTCAGCATGTACCAGGATTTTACTAGATTCCTTTTTTCTTTCTGTTCTCATAATTACATGAATTGATTGATTTTTTCACTTAAAATAATCTGCATCTTTTGTTGTCTGAAAATACAATTGTACAACATTATTTTTATAGACTGCATAGTGTTTCAAATGCTCTTAATAAGGCAGTACAATACATATTTTAAAACACTTTAGAAATGATTTACTTTACTGTAGTGTTTGTTTAACAGCTGCGTCTGCATAAAAACTGTGAATATGCAAATGTGATCTGTGAATTCCTGAAGTGTGGCCAGTCCTGTTACCCACTCGGCAGTGGGTAATTTTCCCCACAGGGGACATTCGGCAATGTCTGTGGGCAGTTTTTGATGGTCAGGCTGGTGGTGGAGGCTTGATGCTCACATCCAGTTGGCGGAGGCCAGGGATGCTGCTAAGCACCCTGCGATGACCAGGGAAGCCCCCATTGATAAATAATTGTGCTTCAAAATGTCAGAGTGCCAAGGCTGGGAAACTTGGCTACAGAGGTAGTTTTTTTCCTTTGAGGATGGCATTAATGAAATGAATCTTACACAGAAGCTCCATATGTAAAATACAAATGAAATAAAAACAAAACAGTGTTTTGTTAATATAAAATTACCTTATAAGTTCAAGTGTTGACATGTATTTTATGAGCATACAAATTTGAAAGCAGGGATTATAATTAGGGTCTTAAATCTTCCTCAGCAGCAATAATTTTCTGTTGTATCTTATTAGTTTAGTACTGAGAAGAATCTTAATAGTAAAACATTTGTTTCTAAACATCTTACATGACCAGCCATAGGCTACCCTGAATTAGATGAAAAACAAAACCTGTGTCTCAAGTAACCACCTCTATGATTAATAACACCTTTATACATTCATAGGTAGTTGATCTCTAGTAGGTGCTTAATGATGGATTAATAGGAAGCTTGACTTGCTTCAAAATAAAAATGCTCCATGCTCTGCATAAATTAACCTGGCTGCATAAGTTAATATTGTGGTGGTCTTAAATACATGAAAATGTACATAGGATACAATACAGTGTATTTGTTTCTTATTATGATTTTAAATAATTATACTATTTTAACCCAAAATTAGAATTAAATATTATTTGTGGGACTATTAAAGAGCTTTAGAGATACTTGAGAATATCGCTGAATCCCACTGGTCTGCACATCTCATTTGCCAGACCTGACCTGTTCAGATGCGTGACATCTGGTTAGGTAAGCATATCGTATCAAAATCGGGACACACATTGACATCTTACACTGAACCACCAGTTCACATGTCATGGGGCTCTGGAGTTTTTAAGAGCAATTTGAAGAGCTAATGAAGCCTTGTGTATAAATGAATAACTAATGTCTCATGTGTATGCATCCTACAGTTGTGAGTAATGAAAAAGAAAACAACTTTGGAAAGCATAACTGAACTTACTATTGTTATGTGTTATGATCAATCTGTTTAGCAATCAATAGATCTAAGTAATCTAACTGATATTACTTTGGGAAACCACACATCACAGCAGAGGCTTGCCCATGACTTGATATGTTTTCAGCTATGATCTACTATGTCAGTTAACTAGTCTTGTCTCAAATCCTATCATGATACCCAGAAACGTTGAGTAATTGTAACTCAGAAAGGGAGGGTATCAAGGCAACTCCAGGAAATCAAGTGCTTGACTTCCTCTGGAAAGTACTGACACTAGTTTAGTGAAACAGCTTCTGTCTTGGCAGCTATCTGCTCCAAATTTCCATTTCCCCAGAGTATTTCATTGGCCAAACTTGCATTAGGTGCCAACTCTCTGAAAATTATGTAGTAAGGGCTGGAAGGAAGCCACAGACTTACAAATATGGTCCCCAGAGTCTCACAAGGGCCCTGAGAAGAGAGGGATCACTGAGACTCAGACGGGATCCCCTATGTAAGCAGTGCTCATAAATTCGCATTGTGGCCTGTGGAAATTTATACAATGGAGTGTCAGTCTCTGCTAATTTAAGGGTGTGGCATTTCTGGATTTTGTAATGCTTACGGCTGAGTGAGCTGAATGTGTTGAGCTCTTTATGAGAAAAAAGTGCTCAGAAAGAATCCCAGGGTCACTGACAAACAGCGAGATGTCCCTGGATGTCTCCTGTGTCTTCTGGGTGAGAGGCAGCAGTGAACATCTCGAAGAATGACTGCTCCCTCCCTGTCTTTCCATTTGTTCACCTGGCTGAATTAATTGCTCAGCCCTAGTCAGTCACCTCTGCAATGCATGAACAACTCCATATAGAAATGTACTCACATTGAGGCTGGAGCAGCCTGATGCTCTAAGTCTACGGAATCCAAGGTGTTAAAGATCCCAAAACTGGATGGTTTGAGAGCTTCAAGATTGAAGGGCTTTTTAAATGTTGTTTTTAACTTTTCACACTCAAGCATTAACTGACTTTTTCTGAATGTAGAATTCCCAGGGGTACAGATTCATGATAGCGTAACATTCATCTGTCTTCTTTCAAAGACTTTTAGAATGGCTTACATTATAATCCAATTTATTGACATTTTGAAGGTTAGGTCAGAACACTATAATAGGCTGTTAAAACTATGGTCCCATGATACTGGAGAGTGAACGGAAATCATATTGCTGTAGTATTCATTTATGAAGGTGTATTCTGCATGGTCACTGACTTGAAGAGTCACAGTAATTACAAATCATGTATATTTGATGTCTAAGGGCAGCATGACCCTCACTGCTGACAAAACAGGATCCCAGAGGTTCTGGCCCATAGCAGCTTAAAATCTGGCTACACACACACACACACACACACACACACACACATTCACACGCGAACATATAAAGAGCACTTGGTATATAAGAATATGAACTTAAATGAACAAATTATATACATATACTTGGGATTTCAATTATATAAGGATAAGCTTTTAGGTTTTAAACCTGATCTCTGTAGAACATAACTGTAAAAACTTAATAGAATCTATATTAAAAGAATAAGAGAACAGAGAGGGAAAAAAAGCTTGAATATGATGAATTCTACTATGATACTTTGGTAGACACTATAGTAGACACTATAGACACTAATATAACACAACTTAGACTGGTGAGATTGGTAGTGAGTGACAATTATAAGACTGGTATCAGCATCACTTAGTAAAGTGCTTTTGAAGAATGTCTTCTTTGGCCTTGAGACTGCACCCTTAATCCCTGTGAGGTTTACCACCCAAAGACACTGATGAGAAGAGATGGATGGGTTAGCCTAAGTCACAATGAAAGAGTACGTGGATTTTTTCTCCTTCACCAGCACTTACTAAGTGGTGTAAAGACTGTGTATGAACTTTATAATTGCCATCAAATTTTATTCTAGGTAAGCTATTATGTTTAAGAAAATACCTTGTTATTTGCAGGTGAAATCCTGAGAGCACCAAACAAAAATGATAAGAAAACCAAAGAAGGTAAACTGCCGTGTGAGATTTAAGAGGAATGTAAGTATGAGTAGCAAAATAGTGGAATAGAGAAAATGGAATAGAGTAAGAACGGTCATACTATAAATTCAATTTTAGGATTTTTGCAATGCTATGATAATAACTTTTTCTCTATTTACTTAAAGCAAGCCCCTCACCCTGAGTAAATCCTTGTAAAATATTTTATTTTTATTCTTGGAAAGGGGCTGCATTTTATATCTTGGCAGCATTCATTGAACAGTATTTTATACATTGAACCAACTCAGCAAAAACTGAATTTTGAACCCAGTTCAGAACTTCAAAGCCAGAGATGGCCAAATTGTGCTTGCCTTTTCCATTTCCTTGCTTTCCCTATCTTCCTGAGGCTGCTTGCATTCCTTGGCTCATGCCCACTTCTTCCATCCTCAAAGAACATCACCCCAGTGACTGCTTCTGTCCTCACATCTCTTCACCCTCTACCTCTCCCACCTTCTTTAGATATGAACATGTGTGATTACATTGGGCCCATTTTCATAATCTCATTCCAGAATTCCTAATATAATCACATCTGCAGAGTCCCTTTTGACATGTATGGT